AAGAATCCATGTAACATAGCTTCTACTCATTTTTGGAAGATCTACAAGATGAAAAGCCATTTTTTTAAAGGGAAACTGTATTGTTTCAAAATTGAAATGTTCAGAAATTACGGTTTCGTCAAATTTCAACTTGGATCTCTCTTATTTGCTGTTTTAATTTGATAAATCATTGGAGGTTGTTTTAGGGTCGATCAACAGCAGATATTTGCTCATGAACAAAATACAAACAAAGAAAATGGACCAAAAATATTCCATCATAAAGATAGTTCACATGCAGTGAAAGCCATCAACCTATACTTTATACGTACACTGGTCCCTGCAACCATTAGTTGTTTATTGCAACTCCACACAACTGAATTCCTAACAGCATAGATAAAATAACCCATGCTCGATTTCCATTCACCAGAAGAACCAGCACAATTGACAACTCAAAAGGGCTAACTTGCAGAGACCATGTTGTAGATGAGGCCACATCCAGGTAAGGATTTAAAATGCCTAAAGATCGCTAATTGGTATCATTAAGCTCCTTAAGAAGCATTGATTAGTTGATTCACCATCCCAATACCACAGTTCAACTCTCGCTTGGGATGGTCAGGTAGATAAGCTTTCCACCAATCTTCGATAGGCTCCGGATACCAAGTAACTCACCTTTAACTATCCAAGGTGAGGATCATTTATCTAAAGAGAAATGAACTAATTGGGCTTTTCCAACAATCTTTGATAGGCTCCTGATACCAAGTAACTCACCTTTTAACTATCCAAGGTGAGGATTATTTATCTATAGAGAAACAACTAATTGGGCCTCAAGCTTTTCAGTATCTTGTCATATGTATAGTTCATGATCGCTATGGGAAGATGAGATTGCTGCTCTCTGTAAAAATGAATGAATGGAAGATTCTAGGATTTGACATGCTTATAACAGAGAGTTAAATGATAAAATAGTTAAGAATTTGAACATACAGCAAAAATAGGCTCTCCTTTGCATAGCCAAAATATTTTTGTAGGTCATATCCATGCTCTCAGATGAAAACGGACTCCTAAAGAGCCATTTGGATACCTGTATTTCTATTACGGGGAAATAGATAATGAGGAAATATGCCATTTCCAGTGTTTGGGTACCCATATAGTGGGCAGGAAATAAAACATATTACCTTAAATTTCCTCCAAAATCATGAAATCTATTACCCACCCCAATAGCTAAAAAATGTATTACTGAAAAAGACGAGCAATATCAACCCAACGAAACCGCTAGAAATTATAAAGTCCACCTTATAAGTTTGAGGTCCGCATCATCGCTATCTTCCACCTCTCTCTCTCCAAAAAAGCGCCATCACTATCTTCCACCTTTCTCTTGCCAAAAGACTCTCTTCCGTGTGCCTGCAATAATATGGCTTTGCGAAGTACAAGTCAAGAGAAAATATAGGTATTAAGTCGTATGGGCATGTGTTCAAGACCAAAGACACAAGAAATAGAAGGGTGGCCCTCAAGCTCCCCAAATTCCTTGATGCTTCCCCTAGACGTTCCGAACCACCAAACTCACACAAGAAATCAACATCCTCGATTCCCTCCCTTCCTTTCTTTACATTGTCCAGTTATACTTTCTCTCTCTCTCTCTCTAACCCATTTGGTTACCAGTTCAGGAAAAGTGGGTTCCTCTTTTTACTGGTTTTCATGTAATGAATTTGGGGCTTTAAAATCTGATAATGGCCATTGCCAGCTCCCAATAAGGTGGTTTCTTAGCCGTATTTCCAGAACCCACATCTTCAAAGTAGATCTTCTTTCCAAGCTTTAACCCATTCATGGTCTCATACTCCATCTCTCTCTCTCTCTCTCTCTCTCTAGCTTGGAGACTCTCTCCCTCTCTCTAACCCATTTGGGTACCAGTTCAGGAAAAGTGGGTCCCTCTTTTTACTGGTTTTTCATGTGATGAATTTGGGGCTCTAAAAGCTGATAATGGCTATTTCCAGCTCCGAGTATGGTGTGGGGATTGTCAATTTTGTGGCCGTGGAACTTTTGGTGACTGATTTTTTTGATTTATTTTCTCTCTCTAGCCACTCCACTCTCTCCCAAAAATGGTTTTGAAATGAAAAATCTGTGCAAACCGAGATTTATGTTTTAATTCTCTTTAGAATTTTATAATTGAAAGCCACGACAGCCAACACACATAGGAAGCTCCCATCCATGTGTGCTACAGAGAGATGGTACAACTAAGCTTGAGTTACAAACCCACGCTAGTGGGCTCTCTTCCTCTCATCACTATAACAATCTATTTTGGTATACTGTGTGAATATGTTTGTTGAGTAAGATTGGGATTAGGGTTTTTATTGTCTGATTATTATTATTATTTTCCTTCACATATTAGAAAACAGTAGTTTTAATTGATGTTTTTTCCTAAAAAAAAAAAAAAAGAGGTATTGAAAAAAACCACATTACTATAAGTAAAATTAGCAATATTTCCTAACTAAAATGTCAGTAATACATTTCTCAGATTTTTTCCAGACATAGCCAAAACAATAGCAATGTATTCACTAGGTTGCATCTAAATACTACCCAAACAGTAACAATCCATTTGCAGGTAATGTATTACGCCAGTAATGTATTACGTCAGTAATATATTTCCTAGACAATATATTTTCAGGTACCCAAACGACACCTAAGGGTATTCCGCTTAGGTACCCAAAAAAGATTTATCTTCTTGATCTCTAAGTTATCCACCGCATACTCCATGCCACCACTTCATGTCACCATCCTAACAAGAGCTGATAGAACTCATAGAAGGAAACATTTAAAAAAAATTAAGAACAAAAATTCTCCAATGCTGATGCTGATTCAGTATGATGAATCTATGTTTCCATTATCATCTAAAACTTTAAAGCACCACATAATCACAGGATTAAGTATCCCACTTAACACTTAAAACTTTGGGATTATTTACAAGTTACTAGTGTATTGTCAGGATTATATGTAATTGAACAAGAAAAGTTCACTTTTGTCATTGATTTTAGGTGTTTTGGATTAAATAAAATCAAGGGCTACGATGATTTTAGATTACTTAGGTAGCCAACTTTACTTTGAAGCTTTCTCATAAGACTTGTTTTTCCAGAGAAGGTGAAGTTTTGTCATAAATACTTAAATAGTTAAGGGACCTATGTTTTATAATAGGCCCTTTGCTTATTTTTAAGTGACCCCTTGTAAGGAGATTTATTTATTATTGGATTTGTGTTGGAACCTGTTCCTAGAGCTTTTGAGCTCCTTTTCTGGTTGTTGTGCTCTTTCCCTATTTAGAAAATTTTGCCTTACCCAACTCTCAGCGCATCAGGTAGTATCTGGATATCTTAGCCCCAAAAAACTGATATATATTAGGTGTTATAATGATAAAGCTAATATAAGGTTAACTTCCAATATTACCCTCCCAAAATAATTTTATCTTAAAAATTACAAATAAAATCCCAGACAAATCAGAATACTTTTGAGATCATTTACTATAAAGGTAGTCATTTAGATGCCCAAGACAGCCCTGACAAATCGTTTTAAGACCTACTTCAAAGAGGGATCAAACAAACTTCTTAAGATTGGAAGACCTGCCCAAAAATGCTCTCTGGCACCATTGATTTACATCTCTTGAAAATAACCTACCCCTATAGAAACAATTTAAAGAAACTAAGACCTAAATTAAATTGTTGGATAGAACTAGCATCACTTGGCCCTTGAATGTGGAATGAAGAACACACCGAATATACAAATGTATTTTGATTTTTTAAGACAATTTCACCAACAACTGAATCAACTTCATAATTCTCTCTTGAAACCAATGATTCTAGTCACATACCTCTATAATTGCAATGTCTCTTTAGTAGAATTTCAGCTTTAAGACACCCCTTATTTTTCTGGAGTTTCTCATGATAGGTACAAAGACTCCAGAAAAAACTTCAGAATGTCATAACATATTAGTATTAATACAAGGAGCCAACTTACGCGAACAGAAATAGAGACTAAGGCCTAGAACTAGTAGACAGCTATTCTCTTAATATAATTATGTGGGTTACTCGAAAGGAACCATACCATTGAAGATTGGTTAACAAGATTGAGGAGATTCTCCAAATTATGAGCATGTTAAACCTGTCGACCCAGCATATCCTTTGTGGGGCCAGTAGTGATGTGGGCGGTACTGATAAGCTGGGGCTCACTTGGATCACATGATGAAGTATACCCATTAGTGACTAATTTACTTGGCCTTACTCATGTTATCCCATCAGACCTGAATTATGATCCACATTTACTCTTTAATCTTGTCTTGCCCCTTGTATACATTTCAATATGTCTGTATTCTGTATTTTCAAGTACAACTATACATTCCCTTATCAATGAAGTATCCTTGGATAAGTGTTTAATGTGTCAGGCCTGCACATGTCGCAGGCCCCAACATCTGCAGATTCTGCACCATCCGATTTTATTGGACAGTGCATATCAATTCTGCCCTCCCCCTGTTTCAAAAATTGTGCCAAATTTGCACAGCACAATAAAACCAGATGGTGCAGATGTTGGGACCCATACAACATAAGGTGCTGGTTATGACCAGGTTTTTATCATTTACTATTAAGAAGATAAATGAACTAATAAATTTACTGACACGTCATTTCAAAAAAAAATTTACTGACACCTAAAGTCAACATGAAATAAATAAATAACCTCAACCACCAAATGGAAAAAGGAACAACCATGGAAAATGTATCTGAAAAGCATCATACAAGGATAATAAAGAAAAAAAATTAACATAGGGGAAGAGCAATCCAAATCAAAGCAGAAGACTTAGCTATCATCAAAGCTAAAGAAGTTCATCACAAGCCATTTGCACATGGGGAACAAATAAGATTTTCAGAGCAAAGTTAAAGTGGCTCAACATAACCTAAGGCATGCCTTACAGTGTCGGAAAAATGAGATAACATGCCTCATAAGAAAAGTAAGACATACCAACAAAAAAGAAAGCATGTACAACTTACATGGGGAAACACTTGCGGTGCATTAGAACTATCTTCTTGGTTTGCCTCTGCAAAATACAAGATAATCCATGAGAACTTTGTAAACTTTTCATAAGATATTTCCCAAGAACGATTCCCAAAACAGTTCAATACACGCACGCACTCACGTACATGGGCACAAACACACACAAAAGTAATTGGGAATTCCTAAAAGGCAAACATTAAAAGCTACCAAATAATTTATTTGGAATACATAAACCCAAGGTTCGTTCCATTTCTGCCCCACATAAAGTCTAAGCCTTCAGTTGGCTATTGGGTCTGGACAAAGCTTTATCACACACAACAATGGGGAACACAAATTCCAAACTGTTGCATCATGTGCAGGGAAGAGGACAAATTAAATGGTCATCTCTTTTTACACTGTAAGCAGCAACCATCATCGGATCGACGTTCTTGCAAATGTTTGATATTTCATAGGTTTGGGCCCCAGTACTTTGACAGCCTAATTAAATTATGGTCATCTCCTCTCTACCCAACTCTGCCACTATCTGGTATATAGGGCCAAAAAGAAATCAGAGGACTTTCCAAGGTAGAACCTCTGTTTTCACAACTTTGATTGATCAGTTCTGAACCATTTCTTGGGCTCTGACCATTAAAGAGTTTCAAGCCTATTCAGCAGGTGACTTGGAAAGGCAGAGGAAAATTATAACTAATTCACACCCAAACAGGACCACAAGTCAGCACATTGGGTGCCACCATATCAGGGAACAATAAAAGCGAACTTTTATGGAAGTAGCAGGGGAAATCCCAATGCCGCTAGTTTCAAAGGGCTCTCGATCAACTCTACTCGGTTTTCAAAGGCCTTTTGGAGTGAGGGACTCACAACCTTTATCATAGGGCTCCAATTTCTCTGCAAGTCCTAAGAGAAAAATCTAATTTTCAAGGGCAACTTTGTTGACATAATTCCATGGACCAACAAATCAAACCCATGCCCATGGTAGCTCGAGCAAGTACTTGATCAAATTCATCAGTTCAGCCAAGCCCTAGTGTATTTTAAACACACTTCAAAGTGGCAGACCCCTAGCCATGGAGGGGGACGACCAACTCATTTTTCTGTAACCGAAATCCAATACCCATAATTAGGGGTGAGAATTGACCCGATCCGGATCCAAATCCCAGATTTCGGACCCCATTCGGATCCAAGTATGGACCCAAAATTTGGATCCAAAATCCGGATCGGATCCGGCCGCAGGTGGATCCAACCCGGATCCAAATCCGGATCCAACCTGGTTTTTTTAAAATAGTAAATTAATGTACCATTATAAATTATCTGATGCTGAAGTATGTAATAATGGAAGCTGTTTTACTACACCCTTTATAATGGTTAAAGGATTAAGTCAGGCAGTTATTTTAGGAACACCATTTTTAAGTCTACTCTATCCAATAACTATAGACACTACTGGAATAGAAACAACAATACATGGCCATAAGATAAAGTTTGAATTCATAGATAAACCCAAAATAAAAGAAAAAAATAATGTCAAAAATAATATAGAAAATAAAGAAAAATTTCTCTGCCACCTTAAGACAGAAATAAAATACAAACAAGTAGAAGAAGATTTACTACTTCCAAAAATTAAAGAAAAAATTCATAAAATAAAAACTCAGATAGAAAAAGAATTATGTAGTGAATTACCCAATGCTTTTTGGGAAAGAAGAAAACACATGGTAAGTTTACCATATGAATCAGACTTTACTAAAAGTAAAATTCCTACTAAAGTCAAGCCAATACAAATGAATACAAGTTTACTAGAATATTGTAAAAAAGAAATAGATGAATTAAAAAACAAAGGATTAATAAGACCAAGTGCATCTCCTTGGAGCTGTGCTGCATTTTATGTAAACAAAAATACAGAAAAAGAAGAGGAGTGCCAAGATTAGTAATAAATTATAAACCATTAAATAAAGTACTTAAATGGATTAGATATCCCATACCAAACAAAAAAGATCTGTTAGATAGATTGATAAATGCTTGTATATTCTCCAACTTTGATTTGAAATCTGGGTATTGGCAAATTTGGATAAAAGAAGAAGATAGATATAAAACCACATTTAATGTACCATTTGGTCAATATGAATGGAATGTCATGCCATTGGGACTTAAAAATGCTCCATCAGAATTTCCAAAGATTGTGAATGATATATTTAATCCTTACTTCAAATTCATGATAGTCTATATAGATGATGTATTAGTATTTTCAAAAAACATAGATCAACATTTCAAACATCTATATGTTTTCATTAATACAATAAAACATGCAGGATTAGTTATTTTTGCAAAGAAAATACTGTTATGTCAAACTAAAATTAGATTTTTAGGACATAATATATATCAAGGAATCATATAAGGGTTTTGCTTTATTGCTAAGTTTACATAAAAATCAGCCATGTAATTTAAACATCCTAAAAACCTTTGATAATAATTCTATTTACTAAGTTTAAACTTAGATTTTCAGAATTAACCCCTGATGACTCAGGTTTATCTTCTATTAGAGTTTTTTGTTCTTTATGTTCTTTATGAGTATCTATTATTGGATCAAATTCTAGTTCATCAGTTTCTGAGATTTCTCCCGAGATCTCAGTTTGCAATTCTAGAATTTTTATTCTATTTTTTAGTTGTTGTACTTCTAATTTTACATCATTAACTTCTCTTTTTAATTCTACTATAGTTGGTTCTTTTTGGACTGCATCTCTTTTGTTTATTTTTTTTATTATTTCTGAGAAACTATATTCATCTACAAGTTTCATTAATGGAGCAGGCTTATTTTTTGCTTTAGCTATTTTAATATACTAGGTTATTATATCTCTTTTTTCATGGGGATCAGTAATTTTTTCTATGAGATCCAGTATTAGATTTTCTTCATTGGTTAATGTATTACAGGAACATTCTTACATTTTCTCAATTTCTGATTGTTCATCTGAACTACTCCACACTAAATTTTCATCTTCAATATTTCCTATTAATGAGTCACTGCTATTATCTTCAGTTGAACTGTTTTCTGAATCTGCATCATAAATTTGTATAATATCATATATTTTATTTCTGATATTTTCATCAAGTATTATAGTATCAATTTTCTTTTTCATTTTGCAAGCATTTTTGTAATGACCAACTTTTCCACACTTATAGCATACAGGTACTTTCTTTTTTCCCTTTTTATATTTAAATTTAGGGGAGAATCTTTTGATAAATTTGTCTCTTTTATATTTTCTGGATTTTCGTTTTTCTGTTTTGAAAGATTTGTCTTTTCTCTTTTTCCCTGGTTTATTTGGAGAAGTACTGATACTATATCCAAATTGTTCACAAAAATCACCTAATTCTTTTTTACCAATCATTCTTTGTTTGTCCAATTGTCTTTTTAATTTCAAATATGTGCATAAGGCTAATCCTTCGGCACATATTTCTGCTGAACGTTCACCTAAAGTATAATTGGAATATGGTATAATACCCCCATTCTTAGTTTTAAGCCGATTTTTAAATTTTTCAGCAAACAAGTAGGGTAATCCAACAATAAATTTTTCTTTCCAATGATCAAGATGACTATCTTCTCGGGTAAGTAATCTAGAAAAGAAAACGTCTTTATACCACTTATAATGAGATAAAGTAGGACATCTTAAATTGGAGAGCAGATCTTCAGATCGTGCTTCTAATAAAGCTGTACTGCCTACAAAATGGAGAGTTATTGTATATATGAGAGCATTTACAGCATCACTTTCGCTGTATGGTATATCCTGATTCTGTTCATTCTTTACAACCCATTGTCTAGTATTGGTAAGTATTTGATTTTTAGTAGTATCATTTAGGTAAAAATCCCACCATCCTCTAAGCCATCCTGTGAAACCACAGACTATGGATTTTGCTACTTCCTGATAATGATTACCTGCCATTTTGCAGGCTGAAGCATACATTGTCATATGTTTCATGGTGTCTAATATCTGATGTTCAAACATTCTATCTATATTCCAATTGACTATGGTTCTACCAGAATAGGAAGTTGTATGGGATACTAGATCTTCTTCGAATTGGATATCTACAGGGATAGGCCTAGTATGGTACATCCTAGCATTGGCTACTGGCTTCCATTTTGTTCCATATGATATCCTATGAATATTTTGATCAGTAGACTGGTTATTGTTTTCAGTAAAAGCAATTTTCATATTTTCAACAGTATTTTCTATTATTGATTCCTCTTGAAGGGTTAGTGCTTCAGGTTCTTGAATAATAATTCTTTTATTTTTCTTGTCTGTATTTTTTAGATTTTTCTCTTTAATGTCTAAATGGGATAATTGTGCAACCAATTCATCTATAAGATCACTATGATCTTCTTTGACATTAAATCTGTCTTTATTCATTTCAGGAGGAGGTTTTATTAGGACTGATTTCTTTTGGACGTCTTTCTTTTCTGTCTCTTGAGGTATTCTTAACATATTTTCTATTCTTGTAGTTTGTTTTCCTATGATTTGCATATACAAATTTGTATAATTATTTTGTTCAATTATATTAGGTAATCATTCTAATTTATGGGTAGATTATCCAGTAGTCATTTTATATGGTGTTGCTTTGGTTCCAGAAACTATTGTTGTTTCTGTTTCTTTATCTTTATGATATCCCTTAATTATAATACTTCTTTCTTGTGGATGTATACTGGTTATATTGTCTCCTTCTACTACTTGAAATGTTTGATATTGTTTTTCTAAAGTATGAATTTCAAAATTGGGAATAGGGACTTCTTTTTCTGCGAGTATTACTCTTAACCAGTTAAAAAATCCTATACTTTTCTTTTCCTTTTTAAAAAATTTATTATATTTCTTATGTAATAGATCTATTAATCTTTTCTCAAATTTAGCAAGATACCATTCTCTAATTTGGGTATTTTCTTCTGCTAAGTAATCATTTTTGAGATATTCTAAATCTACTTTTCTTTCTTCTTGTAGGATTAAAACTTGGAAATCCATTTCAGTATCTGAAAAATCTGGATGATTACTTGCTGGCTTGCATTGAAGTATA